TCGGTCGGTACGCCTGTCAGTATTGACGAAAACAGTGACTATTTGTTGCATATACAGATTATTAGGCCTCTTGCATTTCACTGAAGGAACATTTGGGGGTCGCCCAGGGACTAAAGGGCTGGGCTAGTAATCAATCTGAGCGGTAACCGGGTTTCCTGCCACTGCTGCCCTCTTTTCGACATACGGATGGACGGATTACAAGGCAACCCCACGGATTTATTGCATAGAGTGACTCCGCAACCCAACAATTGAGAATGTGAGTGGTGCAGACGAGTTTTAAGGAGTAGAAGGCGAAATGCAGACGAAAGGTGGATCTGGCAATTACGGTTAAGTATCACTGCGAAGCCACACCATCCTTCCCAGTGACTGCCTGGTCGAAGCTTATCGTCAACCGTCAAGCCAGTTTCGTCTAAGGCGTCCTTCAGAGTGCTTTCATACTTTCCGCCAACGTTCTGAGCGTGCGCCAGCGTACGGGAGCGTTTTCAGCGACAAGGAAGGTTTAGGTATCAATCTGGTGTTTCGAGGATACGCTAGCGTTCCGAGCACTCTGCGGTACGCTCAAAACGCCGATGAGAAATATGAAAGCACTCTTGAGCCACTTTACTGGCACCTTAAGTTGCCAATCTCGATCTTAACCCTCGAGGATGAATATGGCCGTGCCATCTAAGGCGCTAGCGCATTTCATTATCTACAGAAGCTGTGCTGGATTTCTTGCGCATGACACTAGTGAGTTATAAAGTTGCGAATTCTTCCGTTGAGAAGAATTTTTGCAGAACACCTCTTCCAAGATTTCCTTCTACCCCAACCTACCTACCATATTACTGGATTTCCTCAGCTTCTTCCCGGAATTTATCACAAGAGTGATGGGCAAAAGTCACACCACGGACGGAACTCAAACCCGCATTTCTCGCTAACCGGGCGGTTGCGTTATCCATTACGCTAACTGTGTATAAAACGACTAGACAATTCTCTAAGACAAACCAGAGGACAATAGTTTATAAAAACTTTGTCACACGTCAACAGTACATCTGATTTGCAAACCACGAAATCCTTTCTAATGTCGAAGGTCGCACTTTCACGGAATATCCATTGGGAGCTCACGTGAGGGGTTGATCACTGCTCTTTAGTGATTGCTCGCTAATGGAGATTTTACACACCATGAATCAAAAAACTAATGAAGTGCAGCAATTCATCACTGATTTTTTCCATGGGAAGAGCTATGCCCGAGTGATGCTTGTTAAAAGCCAAGAACAGTAAACAGCAATCACGAGGTTTGCTGAGTAATAGTAAAAAAACTTTGGCTCAGTGGGGATTCAAACATGGAGGAACAATGGACAGTTTAAGATTCCATCCTAAAAAGCGGACAAGTTGGAATATGTAAATGGTGTCTATTACATCGGGCCCAGTTTTGTACAAGGACTCCCCTTTAGATGGCCCTATGGCCGAATTGTGCTTAAAACCGGTTGACAAAATCGATTAGTTTGCAAAGCATTCAGCAAAATGTTGATCAACTCACTGGCAATTTGACGAAGGTGAGTGTAATCGCCTTAGCCAGAAGATCAGTCGAATAGAATTCGTCTTTGTTGCTTGTTCCCACCACATTGTTCGAGCACCTTCTCCAGCCGTCTGCGATCACTCCACTTCGTCCAGCTTCTTGGCCTCCCATTCGCACTCGCAAGCAAGCATTATCCTGACACAATGATACGATATCATACAATTAAGACTAAGGATAATCGAATACTGTAATTAGGCCGTTCACAACTTCATTTCTGAAACAAGAAAACCATCGTAACGGCTTCCTCAAATGCACCTGGGCTTGCTCAGAAGAGAATTTTTCTTCTCTCCACAACCCACTCGCGAAAAACCTAATTCGATAACCCAAGACTTTTCACTATTCTGTGATGGTTGATTTACTGTTTCTCGTTTCCGTCCCAGTAAGCAACTGTGGCAGTTCACAAGCGAAAGCAAGCATAGGACAAGTTGACGCTTTTTTGTAACGCTATCGCAGCCAGGTGGTGAGGGAAACATATCCAAACTAAGCGGCGGCGACTCCGGGTGTGAGTGTGGGGAACAAGGTTATTCTCTTGCTGACAGGCGCAAACTTAGTCGCCGCCGCATGCCTCTGTGTGAAGTAAGGCTGCGTTTATACATTGTGCCAGCACTCTGAGCTACGACAGCGTTTTGCGCGCAGTTTTGAACTTTTCGCGGGCAGTCGCTGAGGACACTGGTGTAAGCTCAAAACGCTCACGCAAAGTATGAACCTGACCCAGAGGTCTTTCGCCACAAATGAAAAGGAGCACGGCAAACCTTTTGTTGGTTGTTCTCGATGATTAGATCAGTGCCTTTCAAATCGACTTCTCGTACACGTCCGCAGTTTTCGTTCACAATATCGGAGTAGTCTTCCTTCACTGTAAAATCACATTTCAAATGAATTGGAACAGCAACAAAATTGATGTGCGCGTGAGTTACAGGAGTTCAGTCAGGTGACTGGATCAGGAGAACCTTTTTGAAGCTTCTGGAGAAACTGTCAAATGGGTTACCAAAACGGTGGTTATCGCTATACAGCTGCAACCTCCCAAATTCACAAATGAAACTGCTGAAGAACCATTTTTGAAAATTATTTAGTGCTGCCCTCATAACGAATATGACATTCATTTCCAAGTGCTGGTGTCCTCAGGCCCTCGTCGTGATTTTTGCCACCAGAAACTGCCCATCTCAGTCTGCAACCAAAAACTATAGTAAGGGATAATTTTGAAGTCGCGGTCAGAAATATGATAGCCATTATTCAGACAGCCATGCCAAGAATGAATGTCGTGGCCATGATAGGTACCTTGATCACATATAGACGCATGTTTACAAAATCGGGAAAAAAGGGTGGGGCGCGAAACTGGTGTTGGTACAATCCGATCAAATTTGTCGCCATCAAAAATGATTGTCATATCTCTGCAAGAGGCCCCTTTTTCACCACAGATGCAAAGTCATAATATTGATATGATGGTACCAAGCTGGCGCCAGCAGCAATCTGGTGCCAAAAATAGATGACATATTCGTGATCGGGACGTCAATTAACCCGAGCACATTCATGAATTTCTGTCGAACTTTTCGTTGAGAAATAGGTCACTGCGCCGAATGTGAAGGGTGCCAGAACCCATTTCATATTCGTGACCGTATAACAGAAGTTTTATCACAAAAAGGCGTTAGCGTATTTGGGGATGCCAACTCGTTGTGCCTCTGTATTTCTTTCCCAAATATAGACTTAGGCCTTGGACGATGATAACAAAAGTTTCCTCTTTGGGACCATCTTGGGCCGCGTTCATACTTTGCGTTAGCGTGCGCCAGCCCCATCAACAAGGAAATGAAGCGAGAGGAAGCAAAGTAAAGATACTGATCTAGCGTATGCCAGTGTACGTCAGCAACTAGGATAGTATGGATATTGATCCAGCGCGCCAGCGTCACCAGCGTAGGCCAGCGTCCAGCAGCGTTTCCGTGAGCAGTTTCTGCAGGATCAAATTGCCCGCGAAAACGCTAGCGTACGCCGGGGCCTTCGCTAGATCGATATCTATACTTTCCTATATTGCTCGGCGTACCCTCGAAACGCAGCTGTACGCAGGCGCAAAGTATGAACGCAGCCTCGCGTGGACTCTGGCATATCTAAGTCTAAGCCTTGGACACAGAGGTGAGGCACGGATACACTGACTTCCCCCCGTCCCATCTGATTTAGTGCAGAAAGAATACTCCTGATATACAGGGGATGAGTCAAGTAATGCAAAAGTATGAAACAGAGCCAAAAAAGGAGTCGGCATATTGGGGTCTTATGGCCTTTTAAAAAGAACCATAACAGATCACACTTCTTGCAGTCCTTCGTTTCACAAAATTTTATAAAGAGTAGCCAACCTTCTGGTTGTTGAATACGAGGTGGACCAGTTAGGATATGCCACCATCGCCAGGCAGGTGGTTCGAACACGACAGGTGGACGGCAGCGTCGGCAACCGGTGCAAGCTTCCTCATATAGCATCTTTGCCTCCATGTCCGTCGGTGAACGCTGCAAGATGAACGAAACCATCGCTACGAGCTCACATGAATAGAATAACAGCTGCCAGCATGAGCACTCAGGACACTGAGACACAAGTGGTGGGAGGGTCCGATAGCCTCCGGACTGCAGGACTATGACACATTAAAACC